AGGGAAGAAGGAGACGGGTACAAATGAAAGTACAAAATACGACAATAACTAGTCAAAAAGAGGCTACATTTTTAGGAATTCTGTTTGACGAAGAATGCAATATGGAAAAACAAGTTAATAGAGTTAAGAAAAGAGTACTTATGGCAAACAGAATACTAAAAATGTGTAATAAGGTAAGCGAGGGAATGGAGGTCAATACAGCTGTGATATTATACAAGAGTTTAGTAAGGTCAGTAATGGACTATGCAATATTTTTATACTACCCGAGTAAGAAGAAGATAGGACATAAAGTGGAACAAGCCCAGTTTGCGGGCATTCGAACAGCACTAGGATATAGAAACAGTACACCAACGAATGTTATGATAGGGGAAAGCAAGGTAATACTAATGAAACATAGAGCAGAATACCTAGCGGTTTCATTCCTGAGTAAAAAATTGGTGATAGATAAAGAAGACACGGAAAGAGCAATGGATAGAATGAGTAGGAGGGAAAGACGAGAGCTGCTACAAAACCCAGGTCGAGACGGTAGTGTATTGTATAAAGCGTGGAATAAATTAAAAAAACACGCAAAAAATCTATGGACAGGAGGATACGAAGTGTATAACACTAGTTATGACATGTGGAATATGAGGGTAAAAAAAGAAAAAGAATTAGGAGTGTTAAGAAAGTTAAAAAAATCACAAATGAAGAAATGGTGACAAAAATAGTGAAAAAGTACGGCAGAAAAGAGTGGGAAACAACTTTCATCTATACAGATGATTCAAAAAACACACAAGCACAATACACTGGTGCAGCAGTAGTGTGGCCAGAAAAAAATATTAAAAAAGAATACACAACACCAAAAATATTTACGATTTACTCGGTAGAAGCGGTAGCAATGTTGGAAGCCACAATACTTGTGGAACAAAAAATAAAAGAAAGGTCTTTAAGAAACAAGACACAAGTATTTATATGTAGTGACTCAGAGAGTCTAGTCAACGCGATAACAAACTGTGATATTACGGTGCATATAAATCCTTATGTAGTACAAATTAGACATAAGATATGGCAAATAAGTAAGAAGGAGGTAGAAATAATATTGATATGGACACCATCCCATGTTGGAGTGAGCGGCAATGAAGAGGCAGACAAGCTGGCAAAGCAAGCTACAACGGGAAGAATAACGGATACGACAAAATATAAAGTACCATATAAAGACATTAAGGAAGAAGTAGCGGGACAATTGAAACGTGAAACAGAGAAGGAAATAGTAAGGGAGGCAGAAATAAAAGGCCAAAAATATTTTAATGAGTTTTTTATTCCAAATAAAAGTACACCGTTTGGTTTGCAGGAAAAAATGTGAGTAGGGGACTAATAACATTTGTGAACCGGCTGAGAGCAAATCACTTTAATGTAGGCGAATCACTAGCTAGGAAAACTTATGTAACATCACCAAGATGTCAGTGTGGAGCTGAAGTAAGAACTATCAATCATGTGTTGTTTAAGGCTGCTTTCCTTTTAAGAGACACAGTCGACACAAGTCGACACAAAAGTCATTCTGTCTTCGTTCAGTATTCAGTGAGAAACAAAGACAGAATGACTTTTGTGTCGACTTGTGTCGACTGTGTCTCCTAAAAGGAAAGCAGCCTAAGTGTCCAATATATGACGAACAAAGAATAGGTTACCGCAAAATTCTCGATAGGTTAGGTGCGAGCTACCCACTTGATATATGGAAATAGCTACGAGTGTGGGAGTTGGAAGCAATTAAGGCTTCATACTATTTCCTAAGATCAATAGACAGAGTGGTGTAAATAAAGTGCAGGTGCAAGCCAACGTGGGGGGAAGAAAGAAACTGTGCTCGCAAAGATCGCTGCGACGGTCATTGGGCACGTTAAAAAAACTACATAAAAAAAAACTTCTGCATAAGAAACAATTTCAATAATTTGACGTATGAGTTTCTTGACCTCTTTTTAAAAAATCTGAATTTTCAACATTTTGTAAGTAACAATATATATATTAAAATATATATATTTTAATCACAATATATATATTTAAATATATATATTTTAATCACAATTAGCTAGCTCACATTTTCAATATTTGATTTAATTTACTGAAGTCTATCACATTATTATNGTTTTAAAACAGCAGTGGTTAACATGAATAATGTACCGTGTGTGTGTGTGTGTGTATGACAGAGAGAAAAAGAGAATGCGTGAGAAAGAGAGAGAGAGAGAGAGAGAGAGAGAGAGAGGGAGAGAAAGAGAACATAAAAGGTGTAATTTTTGTAAACTTGATTGAGATCAAAAAAAAGATCGATTTAGCAAATCGTCATTTCCTACGTATAATCCCGTAACTCCAAAACGCAAATTTTAGAGAAGAGCAGTTTAAAAGTTTAAAGGTTCATATAGTTTCCCTAGTTAAGGAATCTTTCGGTTTTTAATTTTTCCTTTACTTATGAATATTATTTTAAATATTTGGTGACCAAAAAAAAGAACATGACTTTCTAAGTGTCACTATGCAATAAACTGAAAATTCAGTATGTGACACTTATGTAATTATACATAGTGACAAAATGGTAATGAAGCTGAAGGTGTTTCGGAGAGCCNGGGTTTCATTGCCCTGAACCGCCGAAATGCAGGGTCACGCGACCGATTTCAAAAACACTACAATTACAGATTTCTAAACACCTAAAATTGGTTAAGAATAAAGAATGAAGGTCAAGTCAAGCTCAAATAAATGTAATATATTTGTATTAGTTCAACAATTCAAAACGTAAGATAATACATAAGCAAAACGATTCAAATTCTCACAGGAGTCATCTCCAGTCGCGATAAGATAAAATGTATAAAAAGCTGTCGAAATAACAAGAGATTTAACAATTAATATAAAAGTATTATATTCGGATATTAAATAAAGATATATTGTGTTCCGGACGTAAATCCAGCGGAGCGCATTTATATCTCGTGTAGAAATTGTTGAGAGGTCAAAATTGAACAGTAGCTAAATTCATGTAGACCAGAGTAAATAAGTCAGATCCTACATAATTAAGATACAAAATACACACAACGGATTTTGTGGATGCTTAAACATCCTGCTGGACGTTTTAATTAGAACTATTTTTCTTGGAAACAGTACTGAGAACAATAGAGCGTCTCCGGAGTCAGTCCGCAGCATCCGTAGCTTTCTGATTAAAACTATGCGCTATTCTTAGTGTGCGTCTTGCATTTGAGAGATCAGCCGCAACTTCCGTATGCAACTTTATATAAAACTTTTCGCGACTTCCAGCGTCGTTGACGCTTCCGCTGCAACCGTCTGGCACGCGTTGCGGTTTTCCTTATAATAAATATATATATTGTCATGCGTCTAACAGTCTTTTATTATTTGCAAATACTACATATATTGTTGGTATTTATTTTGTAAATATATTGCGATCGTCGCGCTTCTCCCTTTTCCTCGATCACCACCACGCGGCAATCGCAGCGACTAATCGATCGACGATTCAACGACAATTTAAAACGATTGTGGGATTGCGGCAACAAGCGTAGCGCGCGTTTCGAACGGCAACAACATGCGTTTTTTCGTTAAACAACCGTTTCCGATACGGATATCGAACGTCGAAAAACGAACGCGACGATCAAACGGGGAGGAAAAAACGCGCGAAGTGTGTCTTGAATCTCTTTGAGTCTTATATTTACAATCTATTACAAATATCGAAATTATATGTTTTAAAAATTTATTTTATACAATAAAACAATTACATATATTTTATTCAGTGTGTATTATTCTTATATCATAAACGTAATCTAATTTAATCTAATCTAATCTAACTTAGTCAGGAATATTGTAGTGGCCCCACGGTAAGGTCTCGGTCGATCCATGGACGACGTACTGCTTGTCATGCGGGCTCAGAGCGAGCTTCCGTCCCGAAACGGTGAACACCTCGTGTAGCTGAGATCGTATGCATGACTGCTGTCGCATTAGTTCAATCGCGTCACGCAGACACCGCACGTAGTCATTGAAGGTGATCGTTCTCGCGATGACGCTTCTCTTCACACCCTTCACCTTCTTTGTGCACTTGCTGTCGCCCACTCAAGTCGCGTACATCTTCGCGCGCAAACCCACAAACTCCGTTATAACAGCACCGTTGTTCTCATCCTTTATAAGACCTTCTTGTTCGCGCGAAGTATGTTGTACGGATTGTCCGCTGAATAGTCGCTTGTATCGAAGCGAGCGATATCGCGCTTCATATCTTTGTACACGTCCTTGCACTTTATGTGGTATATCAAACTGTCGGTATTGGTGTAGAGGATTTTGCAATCGTCACCGTACAACGGTGCCATGTACTCATAATGGAATTTGTAAAGACAGGTTTTCGATATGTTGAGTATGCACATACCAACGTACGACGGTTTATTGAATAAAACTTTAAGACGACGCAGTTCTATGGCCACCAAATCCTCAGTGAACACGCTGCAACTGTGGAAGTTTGGTTTTGCAATGAGCGCCTCCGCACCATATCATCCTTCTCATTTTGTAACGAGTCGTACGTCGGTGTACTTGCGCATGTTCTCCATCGTCTTGTCAAAAACCGCGTTGTTCATAAGTTTGTAAAGATTCTTTCCAAACTTGTTGGTTGCGTTCGCGCGAAATCGGGTATTGAGCTCGATGTACCCGCGCAGTCAAGACGATTGCGAAAATCGTAGCACCTAAAGTATTCGCGTCAGGTGAAGCCCGTGTCGCAGACACTGCTGCAGGTTGAGGTAGTGAATCACGTAGCGCTTCTTGTCGAACACTGTGGCGAGCAGTGTGACATAACTCATTCTATGTTTACCAGACGGCTTCTCGCGCGTCGGACAAAAGGGTAGATTTCTGTGCGCGTCGTGCAGTTCTTTCGAGTACATCAGATCCACCTCGAGTATGTAGCCGACGTCGCTGTCCACCGCGACTGTTGATACATCNAACTTGTACGCGTTCTCCACCCATGTAAAGTTACCGTACGGAAGCGGTTGACACATCGCTCATCCGTAGAGATTGTTCACGTTGTAGTACATCAGATACGTCGACAATGCGGACGGGTCGTGCAAACGTGCGTACTTGTTGTTCGCGGGCGTATCTGTTTGAACATTGACTCAAACCGCTGCGTATGCCGCGTTCCACNAAAATCACCATGTCGATATCGGTCAGCAGCTCGAATGTCACACAAGTGTACTTGAACATGGCGTCTTATGTATATCCGAGCAGCGTGTAGTAGTGCGCGGGATCCAGTCCGTAACTCGCGACAAAAATTTTCAAGTACATCGGCCAGCAAAAGTACGTTAGTCTTCAGATATAGATTGCTGTATGATACCAGATTGTCGATGTTGAATCGTCGCCATACATTCGTCGCGTGCGCGTACTCGCTCTTTGTCACGGTCTCACCGGTGAGCGAATTGTAAACCGCTTCATGCAGTGGCAGACTGGTTTCCAACAGTTTGTCGATGCTGTCCACATATTCGTATGGAAACACAACTTTTCGCGTGAGCAGTTCGAAGTCCTCGGCGGAGAGATCTTTGAATTCCTTTCGAGTCACTCGCAGTTCCCTCTTGTCGAGATAAGATGCGAGCTTCTCTAAGCTTCTGCTCAGAAATTTGTATGAATCGATAAACCGCAAATTGCAAGCAGTTATGTTTGTCTTTTTCTCGAGTACTGTTCACATGTTTTGTGAACAATATGTAAATCTCTTTTGTCACGGACAGCATGGTGATCTCACCCTTGAAAGCGGTGGCCATATCTTTGATAATAAAATGCGCATCGTACTCCGACAAGTTGTAGAACACAATGGGAACAACGTAGACCTGTTTAATTCAGATTGCACGCAGAGTGCGCGAATCTTCTGAAGCGTCCCGTCAGATGACAGTGGTCGCGCACCTTCTTGTCATCTTGCTCAAACGGTTATTTGCACACGTGGCAATATTTGGCGTTCCCAAACCGCTTTATTTCCAACGGTGTGGAATTCGCTATGGGCACGTTTTTTGCAAACAATGTCTTTGCACGTTTTGCGAGATTGTGCAGTTTATTCACGAACCACTGCACACAGTTCTCACCTCTATAGGATCGGTATCCGATGTTGATGTGCGCGCAGTTCACGTAGTAACCGATGCTGAACACACTGTGTCTTTGGTACTTGTGCGCACTTGATGCGTTCTGCTCTTCGTTTTGTTTCTCGAGTACGCACTCCAAGTCGGCGTGTACCACCATTGGAACACGTTCCTTGTTATAATTCTTACATCTCAAACGGTTCTTTCCCTCAGCGGAAAGAACAACTGCGCTGTCATTCAATCGTTCACAGTCCACGATGTGTTCTGCCAGCTTCTTGCTTGTGTGGAAGTAGTGTAGACATCTATGTACGTGTTGCAATAAAACTACAATACACACAACATTGATTAATGAATTTACCATCTCACAATTTAGAAGGACACTTTTTATTCAACATTTTTGTTACTGTTGCAACAATCGTTCGTACTTACCGGTCGCATATGTACTTCGCTGTCTTCTTTTTGCTCAATTGCGAGCTAACCAAACGCAATAAATTTTTTATCCACGCGAAGTGTCCCACGTGTTCATCTTGTTGATCGGGAACATACAATAGATTCACATACTTGTTCTTCTTGTTTGACGTGAAGTGCAGCGGCACGTATCCGTGTCCCTGTTCTGCCACCGTAAACACGTTTACGGACACGTTGTTGCGTTCGAAACGAGCGACTTGGTGCAATGTGATTGGAAACTCTATTCCATCAAAGTTCAATACACTTGCGTACGCGGAATACTGCGACGGTCGATTAGAGTGTTTGACACTTGGATACAACGCGGCGACCACTGCTCAC